AGTGGGATATGTGTAAAATGAATATTAATTTGGGCACCATTATGTTGTCAAAAAAAAATATTATAAGTTTTAAAAACAGTATAATTTAGTAGTTAATGAGTCTTTTCACATGTTAACTCTTTCTCTCTATAAAAGATTTTGCATGGATATTGTAAGAGTAATTGGTGTGATTTCCAACATTAAGATAATTATTTCTTATTTTGCTTCTTCCTTGAACTACTTTTTCTTTCTCCTCCATTCCCCTTTGAGGATGATGTCGGATTGAGAGACTAAGGATCCTAATAGGAGAAATGAGTGTAGCTCTCTATTAAAATGTAAGGAGGAGGATTTCTCTAAGGAATATCAAGTTCTGAAGAAGAGAATTAGGGTGAGAAATAGTCAAAGGGCCAATGAAGGGAGAGTCCTCTTCGATTGCCAAATATAAGCTATTGCTACTCTAAATGTGACCTTGGAGATCATGAAGGAAGTCGTTTGAGATGCTATGGCGGTGGCACCCTTGTCTAATCTTGCTCCCTTAGTCCTATCATTGATCTCAATGATTGTTTTGCATCTCATGTCTAACATTTTAAACGACCTAAAGAGATGAAAACTTCTGTCACTCTCTAAGTTCAATTTGGATTGTAAGAGCGTAGTCATGTATCATTTAAAATTATTATAAACTATTTTTTTTTAAGTTAAGGACTTGTATATGAATATGTTCTTGGCATATTGTGCAAATGTTTTCGTCGATCAACTGTTGAATCTCATGGCAGCTAATGGCAAAGTACTTGCAACCATGAGTGAAGGTCTTATGTAGTGGGCTCAATGCAAGGAGATGAGGCTTAGGTGAGCCAACCTACTGTTGACACATCCTCAAGTAAGAAGGCATCAATTGGACGATCTATCCTTTCTTTTTTTATTGATTTTTAACTTTTATTGCTCGTAGAGAACCACATCAAAGGGAGCATTTAACATATTCAGTAGGGCCATATCGATCCTAGAGTTCAGCAATTACCAAGAGGTGACAATTCTGACGTCATGACTTCTAGCAACATGTCTTCCTCATTTGAACGTATCACTGAAAGGCAAGTTCTTGAGTTATCATTTTTAGCTATTTGAGTCCTAGCGGTAGAGATAATCGAAGCCACCTTGGAAGGACAGGTCATCGGTCTTTGTGGGTTCGTTAATAATCTCAAGAAGGAGCTGTTCATAGCTCAAGCGAACTTCTATAGTGCTGAGGAACACATGAAAGATATGGAGGTGAGGCTAGCTATGGCTCAGACGAATGTTGAATGAGAAAAATATATAAAAACTACAACCTTTTCTATTTTTATTCCATGTTTGCTTTATATTTTGGCTTAATTTATGTGTTTATATCCAAAAAAAAAAATCACTTAATCACTTAAAATGAATTCAAATAGAATTTTCAAACTTTTATTATAGTGCCTCAACATTGTGTCCCAATACTCAGTGCAATACATGAATTAGAATACTTAAAGAATCTCAATCTCAAGACCTCAAAGCTTAGATGCCATCTACTCATCACATAAGCACCAAAATTAGACACAATAGTGCCATATGATGCAGTGTCACAGGAACATATAAGAAAAGAGAAGGATCCAAAGATAGAGATGAAATAGCATATGGGTCGCATACCCACTGCATAGGCACTGATACTCATCGCTACAATATTGTCATATTTCATAGCACTATTGTGCCATCTATGCTTGAATGCAGAATCAAAAGGCAAAGAAGTTGAGTGCCATAATGCTAGAACTTGAGGTCTTTAGTGCCAAGACAATGCTTAGGCGCCATAGCTATAGCGTTGCAACACAGTGACACTAACATAATAGTTATGCCTCCTTAAATTTGAAATTATTTTGAGGAATTGATAGTTGGGAGTGTGAGATTTACTTTGAGGGAGTGTTGGAGAGTGTCTTAGGCTTCTATAGTGTATGTTTGAGTTGAGTGTGTGAGTGATTTTAAGGAGAATTTAAAGAATCCAAGCCTATTGAAGCAAGAGAGGAGTCAAGAGATAGAACAAGAACTCAGACGATGATAGTGCATGAGATTAATCTTTGAGAATTTTGAGTTTTATTATTTATTATTTTATCTTCTTATAAAAATCAGTTTTTTATGGTTAAAATGAATTTCTTATGTGTTTCATTCTAAGTTTGTGTTAGACTAGATATTTATTCTCCTATGAATTGATTCTGTAAATATGATAATATGTGCAAGGTCTTAATATACTTTTAATGATAGACTTGTTTATATTTGTTTTTGGTTCTTTTTGTAAGAACTCAAACTCTCCAGCTTATCTACAGTCGTGTGATTTCCTTTTTCAAATAAATCTTTTTCAGACCGTGTGAATGATAAAGAAAAGAAAGAAATCAGAAATTAAAGACATACGAAAATGATAGACAAACAAACTTTTAAAAAAAGTTGGAGAGCTTATGTGTGGTAAACCTTGTGTGATAGGTCAAGAGTGTCCATTCAAATAAGATTAGATCGAACATCTTAAACCAAATATCCACGAAAGAATACCTACATAAGCTACCTAAACCAAAGAGCCAAATGTGTGTGCTTATTCTAGGTCAAGAGCACTATCAAAGAGATATATCTTTTTTTGTTAATTACTTATTGGGGGATGCCCAGGACCACTCTTGATTAAAGAAATCTTGCTTACACTTATATAACGACTAGTAATGGTGTCACAAAGGACAGTTATTCTATAGGAACGTCCTGATACTTTCAATCTCTCGCTAAACTATAGGCTAGCGAGTGAATCTCTCAAATCCCAAATGAGTGGTGATTCATCGACACAAGGGGCCAATGAAACAACCAAGTTGACTCATAGGGTTCGCACTATGCTTCTAAAATCAAACCGGGCGATAAGGGTAGAGGGTTAATCACCATATCTCAAATGGTTGGTGGCTTATCCATAATCATGGCCTACGAGACGACATCAAAGAAGCATCTAAGGGAGTGATAGGGCTCAAAGTGGGTAGCAAAGGAGAGATAGAGTAATCTTAATTGAGTAGAGACAGTCGGGTCAGGATACTACGGATCCGCATCCTAAGCTATTAGGATTCTAAGTCTACCTAGTCTTGAAGGTAATCAATGCAACCCGACTAAAGGCCCTTTATCAGCAATCTGTTAATCGTGGCATCCAATAGGACCTCGATAGCGCTAAGTTCAAGAGAAGAAAACTTTGAATCTTATGACCCTATGTAGGTGGAAAGAAGAGGTGGGACTCATACTTACCAAAGTGACGAGGAAGCCGCTGGAGTGGAGAAGAAAGAGAGGCACGGCTCTAGAACGGAGCACTCCCATGAAGGATTTACTCCTCGTTTGGTTCGAGGAAGCCTCCAACACCTTAGTTGCTCTTTCATTTGTCTTATTTTTGCCTTGATTATAATAACTTTGCATAAAATTATATAGTTTTTTTTTTTTGGACAAAGCACAGTTATCTTCCTAGTTTGCCCACAAATGCAAGGAGCTCATCCTTCAAAAATAGTTGAGGTTGACGAGAGAATCAATAAGTTTTACTTAAAAGGAAGATTTACATATATATACCACTCAATTCTGTATATATGTCACCTTATCTATGCATGAATATGTGGATTTCTTTATCTTTTAAAAGTTAATAAAGTGATATTTTTTATGTGATATGAAAGATTTGAATGGTATACATGTAAAAGGTAAAAATCTGATATGTAAATACAATGGAATTAGGCGGTATGTATGTAAATGCCCATGTTTAAAGTCTTAGTTTTTCCCAATTCCTTTGGGTGTCAGAGAAGGCAGAGACTTGAAAGGAGTAATAAAACAACAAGGATCTGTTGAGATTATTGCACGAAATTTGTTCCTTTAATGATTATTTTAATGTACCAAGATTTTGATAGGAAATTAAACTTTATCATTTGAAGTTTTCTAACTACAAAGATAATTAATTCTCAAAATGCCTGTAGGTAGGGCTATTAACAATCTGATTTCGAGTCCGGGAGAAAAAACTCGATCCAAAATGTTGGATAGTAGCTCGGCTCATTTATTTCAATCCAAGCGAAAATTCAAATTAATGTTAGAGCGATTAAAGATCTTTGAGTTAAATTCGCTAAATTCAAAGCTCTAATATCATTTTGATTATTAACAATCCAATTTCAAGCCAAACTCACTCAAAATCAGCCCAAAAAAATTCGATCTAAATTTTTGGCTCGTAGCTCAACTCATTTATTTCGATTCGATCTAGATATGAGCCAAAATTCAAAATAACATTCGAGCAATTAACTATCTTCAAGCTAAATTCACAGCCTTGCCGCAAGGCGTTAATTAATAGACAATATTAAGATTAGAGAGGAGCAAAATGTTACGATGCACCCTTATTGTTATTTATAAATCTTGATATTTATAGAAATAACAATCAAATATTTATGTTTATAATTTTTTTTTTATTTTTTTGGAGGGATGAGGACCAAAGTTTAGAAATTCATAGGTCACTGCATTCAAATTCAGAAGGAAAATTAGTAGTCTATTTCATGCAATTTATAAAATTTTGAAGTATTTAGTTATGTAAGCCATAGCCACAAAATAATTGGCGTTAGATTTCACAGGCATATCATGATCTGAACATAATTTTATTTAAAAATTCAATCTACATGCCCATCCCAACGATCATTCAAGCCACTCCTATTCTGTGAGCCCCATGCAAATCAATAATTTGCACATTCTATCCCCATATTAGTTGTCATGCTGCTATTTGTATGGGTTTGGGTTGATATGTAATACAAATAAATGATGTCTGAAAAACTTACCTCGCAGTGTGTTTCAAGAGAAATTTGCATACGTCTTACATACGCAGCGCTGCGTACATCAGAGAGGTTATTTAGAGGATAATGGGGGGGTTATATCCGTGTTATATCCCTTATAACCTTACAGATAGGTTACAAGGAGGTTACAGGGGATATAACACGGATATAACCTTCCAATACCCTCTGAATAACCTCCCTGACGTACGTAACGCCATGTATGTCTCAAAATTTTCTCATGCTTCAAGCCTTCATCATTATACATTACTGTTGCCATACTTCTTCAAATAATCAATCCATTAATGATTCATTCTCCCAATAAAACCTTACACCTCCCAATCAATGATCATACCAATTATTAAATTAAATTAATCTTAATCAAGTAACACGCACACCCTGGTACCTCAATATCTCCCCAATCAACTCCCCCTTCCCTGACCCCACATACCTCCCACATATCTCCCCATCCTTCACAAACAAGAACGTAGGCACTTGGATGACACCCATATCCCTTAGAAAAGACATGCAGCTCTCGTTCTCGTCGCCGTTCATTCTCGCAAAGATGACGCTGCCGGCCATGGAGAGCGAGAGCTTAACGACGATAGGGTAGACCTTCACGCAGGGGCCGCAGTGCTTAAGCCCGACGTCGAGCACCACAAGCTTGCCATTGTTGTCTTTGTGCTCTCCGATTAGCTTCTCAACCTCCTCGCGGCTGTGGAGCTGCACTACGGGGGAGTCGCTGTCGCCGTAGTAGAGCACGCCGCCGACGAGCTCATCCGGTTGGATGCCTTCTTCCTCATGCACCTGCAAAATGCTTAAAATAAATTAGGTGCTTGTATACCTTTATTGAAGGAGTGCATCAAATGAGTGAATATTACGCGCGATATTCATATATGTGGATTGGTTGGGATGGTGTTCACATCAATATCATCCCAATATCACTCCAATACCATCAATCTATATGTAGCTCATTCACACGTAATAACTTACACGACTTAAGCTGTTGACTATGAATAACTATTTAATATTTCTAAGGAAAATTTACAAACATACCACTCGCTTAATTCTTATGCATTTACATATCTAACAACTATGATTCAATCTTTACATATAAGCAACCTTACCTATGCATGAAAAGGTGTATTTTACCTTTTAAAATGTTAAATTTGTGATATTTTTTATATTGTTCATGTTTGACACATGCTCAAGCCAAGCTTCGACATATATGTTCATGATTGATTTGTTTAATCTTATTTTAAAAATTGCACTTATTATGTGCTTAATTTGTATATATTAATTAAATGAGTATTTGAATAAGTTAATACACAAGCTAAAAATTTAAATTAGCATGTAGAATTTAAAAGAAAATTATTAACAAATGATTTTCACGTCTAAACAAGTTATTAAATAAATTTTTTAATTTGCATAAAATAATAATATATTTTATTTGACATTACTTTCACTTCTAAACAATTATTGGATGATCATTCATTATGATGAACTATTGCCATCATTAATTAAAAAGTAGAAGATCGTTCACCAAGTTTGTTAGGCTTCATACTCACCTCCAAGATTAGTTAATTACTTTGTATAAAATATTTTTTTTTTTATTTAACTTTTAATATTAATTTATAAATTGATGAGAACTTAATATTATTATGATTTCCTTAAATTGCAGTGTTGAGAATTAATTGTTATTCTATTAAAGAGAATTGTAATGCCAAATCATTAATCAACCAACGCAACTATATATTCCTCATCACTATTGCTAGATGTTGAATATCAACCGATGTTGAAGTCCACATTTTCACCGCAATACATCAATGATCGACCAACATCAATGCGCATCATCATGACCTCTACTAAATATCAAATGTAGACTAACAAAAATTCCTACCAAATTCAAATATTGTTTCTTTTGTTAGTGTATCAAACCTTCTATAAGGAGTGTAGCGCTTATTTGTGTTTGACATCTTATGTCCAATACCCATCTTTTCACCCGTTCAATCTCCCATTTTATATGGAGACCCAACTCGACCATACAATGTTACATGCCTTTTGAGTCCCTCACCAACTTACTTGATGTTTGCCGAGGGCCAACATCAAATGCGGCCATTTTACTAGTCATTCGACCTCATCTTCTACCAAGAGAATGACCAGGTTGATTGCCCACTATCACCTAATGATAATGCAAAGACCTCAAAACTTTTATGACTATCATGAGTAATATTTTATATTATTCATGCTTACTATTTTCTATTAATATCTTTTTTAATTACAAAAGATAGCATCTTATAATATCATTGACTCACACTAGTGAAGTTAATTGATATAGGCTGGACTCTCAAGTTTTTCTTTTAATTTTATTTCACAGATAAAAATTATCATGTCGCTTACAAACAACCCTCAATTTATATTTTTATTCAATGCTAATATGATAAACTATGCATCTATCAAAATGAATAATCTAGCACATAACACTTTTCATTTCATATGAAGTCAAAAGAGAAGCAAGCGCGAAATCAAGTATTGTTATGCAAAGTAGAGCCAAGCACACGCCTTTTTAACAATAGAACATTGATAAAATTGACTAAGTTTGAATTGGACTCAAACTCGATTCAACTTAAATAGTACTTGAAAGAAATCAACCAGAGTTACTTTGGCAACCTCGTGATCGAGCCTAACTAATCAGTCACAATATTTTGCCTTTTAAAGATAATTTAAATAGATTTTAGAAGGTATTATAGTATACAATATCAAATAGCTATAACTCAATTGTTCAAAGGGCAGTCATAGATTTTGAGTCAACTTGTGACATTTTTTCAATTAATATTTACTAGTCTCATGCTTGGAATTCAAACTATATTTGGCTTTGTGGTTTCCTCATATATAATTGATATTGTGCCTGATTATCCTAAACTAGAAATTAAGTGAAATGTATGTAAAATTACCTTCTCCAAGCTTTTGTAGAAGCTAAAGTGCGGAACTTTCTCAATCTTCTCTCTTCTGCAGAGCTCCCTGGTGGCATCCGACTCATCTCCCATAACAAGGAGGAAGTCAACGTCGGAGCACGTGCGGCTGAGCTCCACCATAAACGGATAAATCCGGCGGCTATGTTGGCTGTGTGTGGCGGCGTACTCCACCACAACGAGCTTGTTCTTTGCCGTACGGAGGGCGGCGTCGAATTCTTCAATGCTGTGGACTTTCGTCACGCGCTCGTCGCTGCTTGTGGCGGCGGGAGCGGCGGCGGCGAGGAGGGGGAGGGACGAGGAAGGGGGAGGAGGTGGAGGTGATTTCAGGTAGTTTGGGGGAGATAGGGAGAAGAGGGGAAGGGGGTTTGGAGAGGAAAGAAGATAGAGAGGCCATGGAGGGTGAGAGGAGGGAGATGAGTCGAGAGATTTGGATTTGAGTATTTAGGGTTTGCAGAGGAGTTGAATATATGTTTGTTTAGAGAGGAGGGGATGCTCCACAGGGTTACTGTGTGGTTGAGGTTGAGGTTGAGGTTGAGGTTGAGGTTGAGGAGATAATTGGTGGGAGGGGAGTTTTTTTATTTAGGGATAATTGCACAAAGACCATTGGAAATGTTTATATTCATGAATTAATTATTCATGTCCTTTTTTTTAACTATCAAATTCATATATTTACGTGCCACGATCAAGCTATTGAGAATTTGATGAAAGAGTATGGTTGATTTGTAAATAATAAGTTTCGGGTGGTATGTATTTAGTTGCCCCAATGTGTGATTTTTTGCTGTCTTTAAAGCTTTTTTTAAGTTGTGGTTTGGCTTTGGAAGAGTGGAAGTTTGAATAGTATTAATATAGTTTGGGCTTTGTTATAAGTTGTAAGTGTATTTTTAAATGTTTGTCACCCATGTATTCAAAATTGTTTTTGTATACCCAGATATGTAGTTGTAGATAAAACCAAGGAGACCTGGTGAATTTGCTTGGAGCGAATGTTGTGCGGCTCAAAATGTTACTAAATGCTTATCAAATATCGCTCACTCAAAGTTCTCTAAAGGTTACTGATCCAAGCTCTCAAAGTCATTCGCCAATGGCTCGGAGGATCTCATCCAGCTCGGAAGATCTAAGCTTAAAATGGCACTCACCTAAAGTAAATAACTCAAACTTAGAAAAGATTCGCTTAGATCTCTAACAACCACAATGAACCGTTGACAAAAATCCTCACAACAGTAAAAATTAAATCTATTGTAATCCTTTTAAGTTCTTCAAAAAGCACATAGCTCGCGAGTAAGGAGAACACTCACATGGATCATATAATTTTACTTCAAGTGAATTGGCGAGAAGCAACCAAAGGTGGATGGAAGAAAAGATTTGTTTGTTATTAATGTTTGACTCAAACAAACAAATTGAAATTAGCTAGGTAGAAATTGCATGCTTTCAAGAACAGTGCTTCATTATACTAAATAATTGCAATTTTTAAAGAATACAAATAAAGTAATGTGTGGCTTAGAAGGGAAAATAAAATTCTCTTTATCCTCTTAATGAAACTTTTAGTTTTTAACCTATCTTTAGTGATTCTTATGATGTATCTATTGATTTTCAATATGTTGCATTCCAGAGGAAGGATATGCATATGGGGATAAACTTTTGATGGGAAAACTAAAGTTAGCATTATAAATGGTTCACTCCATCACTTTAATCATCTCCACTTGTTGATTTTTTCAGTAAAAAAAAAAACGCTTGTTTTGAGTGATATTACTAATTACATCATCCATTGATCCCAATTCTCAAAAATACTATTTACAAATTTGTTTAAGAATTATCATCCTTAATATTGTCAATCATATACAGAAATTCATGCCAATTTAAAAATATAAACTTATATTTCATACTTGTATTGTTGTTTCTTCTCAATCCCTTAAAATATTATTCTAAGATATATGATCCTCAACTGTATAATCACTTCATGATTTCAAAGATTATGTTACTTTGTTCAATTGCATACTAATTAAATCTAGAAATGCCCACTCAAACAAAATTCTCATATTTATGTGTCTACATTAGCTTCAAAGCCATGGTAGAAAACTATTTGATTAAGAAACCATCACCATGTACTCCAATAATGGTGATGAGGAATAACTTTTGACATTTCTCTATCTACTAATATCATCTTTTATCTCAATAATCCACAAAAAACCTTTGAACATACTGAATATTGTAAAAGAGATCATGGATATATTATTAAAATTGATCTCTCTCCCTCTCTCTCTCTCTCTCACTCTCTCTCTCTTTCTCTCTCATCTTAATGACTAATGACTTCAATGAAATAGTCCCACGAATTATTGATACTAGTCAACAAAAAACTTCTTCCACATTTAAAAATAAAAATGTTATAGTGCTTTTTATTTGGCAAAATAAATCATATCCTCTTTCCTTATTGCGACTCTCTAGTTCAACTTTATGCATTTTTTTATTTGTATCAAATAAGTGTGTTATTTTTGTGTTATATTGATCTTTAATTTTGTTATTTTTTTTGTTTTATGTTGATATTTTACTATTTATGCAATATACATGTGATTAAGCAACTTGACGAGCAGACGAGTTGAAACAGAGTGTGTCTATAGTATTTGAATTCATTAAAAAAAAGAGAGATTAATCAGATACGCAGTAATCCTTGGTGAATAGAAAAACGAAAAGAAAATCGAAGGAAAAAGGAAAAGTTTCATGCTTATAAAGAAAAAAATTTAGGAACATGAGAAGAAACTTAAGCTCAAATTAAAAATTGATACTCCTAAACATTTCTAATAAGCCAATGGATCAAAAGATTCGCTAAATCCTCCCTAAAATTTTATATTTAGAATATAGTTACAGAATTAACTTTATTTATGTTGTAGCTAACCAAATTTTATGAGTGAAGTATTAATTTCATAACAGTCAAATCTTACATAAGTAAATTAAGAAGGATTATTCAAATCTAATATTAGTATTAGTTAAATTGGGATATTAAAAAATTACTTTGAAAATTCTACCCAAAGGAGAGACTTGTGCACATTGATTTATATATTTACTGAAATATTCAAAAACACTAAAATCCTTAATTCAAAACCTATCCTGATCTTTCAAAAATTCTAATTTTAGATTTTGAATTACTTGAAGGCAAGTAATATTTTCGTTTAGAGTAATTTTATGTGTATCAAATTTGTGTATTACTTTCATATTATTTTTATGATTAATTGTATTATTTTTATACTTTATATGAATATTTTAGTTTTTTTATGTAGTATACAAATGATTAGAGAACTAGGGGAGCAAAGGAGTTGAAAAGAAGTGCTAGAGTGTTGCCTAAGCGCCCCTCGCCTAGTCTGAGCGCCCCCTTGCCAGTCTAGCTGCCCCTTTGCAAGTTCTGGCCCTTCTGGGTGCTTGGGAACCTGAAAACAAAGCCTCAAGAGCTATATTTGGATTGAACATTGCAAATATTTTATTTCAAAATAAAATCTAAATAGATAAATTAAAATTTAAAAATAAAAGCGCTCACAAATGGCCCCCAAAATTAAATCAACTCTTAAGTGATTTGCTTTCTTTGTCACAATATCTTCAGCATTCTCACCTAAAAACATCATAAGCATTCTCTTTTTTTATTTGAAGATTATTATTGTTAGTTAAAACTTAAATGCTCCAATGAATGTGGTTCGAGGTTCTAGCTTCATTTTATATCTTCTAAAGTGCTAAAAAAAATGCTTTAATAATAAAAAAGTAGTAAAGAATTAGTTGAACTTAACTTATGCAATGAAATCTATCTTTTTCAGCAAAACTTAATACAAAAAATTTAACACGGTTTGAAGTCGCATCACTTAGTATTTCTTTTAACACATATTGGTGAGAAGAAGGTTGTCATTAGCTAGTAAAATTAACATCATTAAAAAATTTAATAAATAGCACCTCTAATTCGGCATGAGCATACCAATGCCAATACATGGAACACTACTTTTAGTTATTGATGGATGAGTCTAGTCGAAGAAGTTCAAGAATCTAACCCATTAGTCCTAATTTTTTATTATGTACTTCGTGTATTATCTGTCATGCAGGCCCTCACTCGAATTCTCCCTCTCTAATGAATTTAGACATGTTTTAGTCAAAATGTTATTGCACTGTGAGCTTCCTCTTTCGCTCAAAAATCTCTCCTATTAGCTTTCTATCTCTGATGACCTCTCCTGCAAACTTAGTTCTATGGCATCTAGAAAAAGTAAATATGTAATAGATCTTATCACACTTATTAAATCTCTCAATTTCATCATTAATCAACATAGCTATCTTTTTTCTCCCCTCTAGGAGTTCACATTTGGTCATTTTTGTCCGACATACAATCTAGCTTCACTTGAGTGAGGTATTATGACTAATGTTTATGGCTTAATCACATGCGTAAATATAAATTAATGATTACCGATCAAGATTATTTCTTTCTACAACTTATTTATGTGGATAAATATTGATTATGTTGAACTTCTAGCGATATTCATGTCTAAATTTATCTCATATGTTAAATTAAAATAAGCCTTGGTTTTTATGGCATTTTTATTTTATTAATATCATGTATTTATTTAAAATATATCAACAGGAGCAATAAATTTTTGTTTGATCTTATCAAATGATTGCAATAGACCCTTCACCAATATGGCCCATCTAGCATGCTATTTAACACAATCCACATTATCATCCATAAGCATGCAGTCAGATAAATAGAACTAATATGTTTATCCAAACTATGTTGAATAAATCATCAAAAGAAATATAATATCCCTGAAAAGTTTCATTTTAAGAGAAAAATTTGTTGATTCTTGTCCAATATAAATAAAATCTAAATCTTGAAAGTGTATCAAAATTAACTAGATTGTGCCTAATGCCAAGCAAGCGAAGCACATCATGGAATAGTAATTTTTTGTTTAAATTATAAATCAAATGGGTACAAACAAATTTGTATTTAGACAACATTCTACCATTTCTCATGAACAAGAACTTGCTTCCTAATAGCACCATATGATAATCTATAAAACTTCTTTTGTCCATGCTTAAATGATAGGTTGCTCTTTCATCATCAACCTATTCATGATTAAAATGTAGGATAAATATACACAAGCACATTAACAAATGAGAGCAAAAACAAAAGTTTAACGAATATATGAATTCTTTGTGTGATGATCAAGTTCTGTTCTGTAAAGTTCTGTAAATTTATGCTTTTATTCCCAATGATATGCCTCTAATCTCTCCTGCAATGGAAAAAATTACCAATAATCACCACAACAACACACGCCATTGTTGAAATGGTGATAGATGCTTGAATCACCAACAATTATCGCTCTTCCTGTAAAACTGGAGATCTTTTTTATTGCACTGTGACAATCATTGCAAATTCTGATATTCTTCTTTACTAGAACAGGAGTTCCCACAGCTGATGAAATCAACCCAAAACTCAGAGCTAACCTTACAGTATGTCGACTTCCCAGATTTGCTTTCTTTCTCACAATATCTTCAGGGTTAAATCTGACAGACAAAGTTACAGCATTTTCTCCAATCTCCATGGACAGTATGTCTGACACCATCTGAACTGTATCAATTTCAAAATGTGACCTGTCTCCTTCAACAAAGCTCCATGTCTTACAGTTAAGCTCCACGAAGCTCCTTCCTCTTGTCCTATGGAGGCCATTTTTTTTCATCAGAGACCTCACTCTCTCTGCATCCTCCCACCTACCAGCATCAGCATACATGCCATAGAGTATAACATAACATCCTGTGTTATCATGGTCCAGCTCAAAAATTCTTTCTGCTGCAAATTCTGCAACGCGGATGTTGTTGTTATTTCTGCTTGCAGTTAACAAAGAACCCCAAATTCTCGAGGTTGGAGCCACCGGCATTCTTTCTATGAACTCCACCGCTTTCTTCAGATCCCCAGAACGGCCGAGAAGATCGACTAAGCAGCCATAGTGCTCAATCCGCGGATTAATTTTATGCTCCCTTTGCATGATATCAAAATACATCCAACCTTCATCAATGAATCCAGAGACACTGCACGCAGATAATATAGATAAAAAAGTGCTATCAGTTGGTTCAAAATTAAGTTTTTTCATGTCTGAAAACATTTCTAATGCAATCTTTTTAAGCCCATGAAGTCCATAAGCAAGGATAATTGTGTTCCATGTTACAACATCCGGGAATAGCATTTTATCAAACAGCTTCCTTGATTCGTTTAGATCTCCACATTTTGCATACATAAATATGATGGAATTCTGTATCCAAGTGTTAGATTCATAGCCCAACTTGAAAACATAACTATGAATCTGCTTACCGAGACGAAGCAAAGCCAGTTCGGAGTATGCTGGTAAAATGCTTGAGATGGTGAAGGCATCTGGTTTTAAATATGGCTCTTCCAACATTAGCAATAGGAATAAATTCAAGGCTTCCAAACTTCTATTATTCTGTGCATAAGCAGATATCATGACATTCCATGACACCAAGCTCTTTTCAGGCATTGTGTCAAACACCAACTTGGCAGATGTCAGCTCCCCATTTTTTGCATACAGTACAGTCAATGCAGTCTCGAGACACAAATGAGGAAGAAGACCTTTTCTGATAGCAGCTCCATGAACTGATTTCCCATGAGGTAAACTTCTCAGTTGTGTCAAGGATGGGAGAAAATTAACCATTGTTATGGCATTTTGTTCTATATCGCTCTCCCGCATATTCATGAATGAAGCAACAGCCATCTCATGTTGATTGCTGAGAACATATCCATTTATCATAACGTTCCAAACCACAACATTTTCTTTCGGAATCATGTTGAACAATCTCTTAGCGTACAACATTTCTCCACAATTGCAATACAGATCTAGAAGAGTGGACAGAACTTTGATATCCGATTCAACGTACTGCCTGATTATGTGACAGTGAATCTCCTTTCCCTTCTTTGGTAAAATTTCCAGGCAACAAGCTTCAAGGGCGCATAGAACTCCAAGCTCGTCAGATTTCATCCCAAAATCCTCCTGCAGTTTTCTAAACCATGAAAGTGATTTCAGTCCTTCGCCATTTGATACATACCCTTCCATCAGTGCATTCCACGAGACTGTCTCTCTTGTAGGCATGTCAAGGAACAATTTTTCTGCGAATTTGAAGAATCCCAGCTTTGAATACATTGAAATGAGGGAGTTGCAGACGTAGGTATCAGAGTGGAGTCCAAGCTTAAGCAGCTGGCCATGGAACTTCAAACCTTGGCTGAAAGATGGCAACTTTGTGCAGGATTTTATTAGAAAAGGGAAGGTGAAGTTGTCTGCAAGGTTGCCTGTCTGTTGCATTTGGTAGTAAAAATTCATGGTTTCTTCGTATTGGCCGGTGTTAGTGTATCCTCTGATCATCAGATTCCAGTGAAAGTTTTCCGGCTTATTGAGAGTTGTGAACAAGGTGAGAGCTTTCATCATCTGCCCAGATTCTATGAAGGAGTTGAGCTTCCATGAGAGCGAGGAGGCCTTATGGTTGGCTGTTTGCCTTGTCTTTGAATCTACAGAAGCAAAAGCTGATTCTTTTCTTATGATATTTCTTGTATGGTCGGATGCAGAGGTTGGATTTGAGATGGAGCTGCTGTGAATGCTGTGCAGAGTTGCTCTTGCCGCCATTTTTTCAGCTCGAGGAAGTACATGGGAAAATATCTATGAGGATAAGAATTGATTTTCTAGAAAAAAAATTTATTTTTATTATTCTTATGGAACGGTTCATATAAGGCTACCTGGGAATAGATCAGAACTGTTTCCGGTCATGATAGACTGAGAAAAAGGTTTATGCGGAGGAGAATCATGGGGAGAGATTATTATGTATGTAGAGCTGTGTTCAGGCGACGGCGTTGATTCTGTGGAGGTCGGCATCACTGTTGTCGCCCGGACGTAGTTTGGCGTTCGGACGACGGATGTAATAATTTTTCGAACGATGAGACGGTTTCGAAGCCCTTCCATTATTTCGAGAAAGAAGCACAAACTTGGGGCAACCAAGGCCTTTATATGTATATGTAAACCTAGAATATGAGACATTTACATTAAGCACAAAAAGCAAAACAAAGAGATCATCAAGATACAATGAACACAGTTACATATATTTTGGCAGATTTTGATGAATTGGGAGCTGGTTCAGGAGCTAGTCATCAAGAATTGGCGCCTATGTGCTAGTCTGCCACATGATATGATTTTTGGCTCCTCTTTGCACCCTTCACTATCCTTTATCTTGCATCCGACATAAATAAGAACGTATACTCAAAAAAATTATAAAAATGATACAAATAACAAATAATAATTTAAGTAAATCATAATACATATTTTTTATGGAATAGTAAGATCTTCTCCTCTCTTCACATTATCTTTCTGTGAGCTCTCGCTTGTCCTTCTCCATTCAGGCGTGCGTCTCCTTTGAAGTTATCAGATATCCTATCCTCTATGACATATTTCTCTTTTTGGTTCTCATTACACTTCTTAGTTTCTATTTTTGTTTGACTTAACGGCTAGGGCTCACCTCCTCCCAATCCTCATCCTGTCTTATGCGATTTTAAGGGGATTTGTTGCTTCACTTTTTTTTTTTTTTTTTTTTTTTTTTTTTTTTTTTTTTTTTTTTTTTTTGGATTTTTAGTTTGACTTGCGAAAATTATGTCTACGGGTTTAGTTCTAAAAAAAATTGTGTTCTGTTAAAAGATTTGGTTTTTGGGTTTTTACTGCATCTCTTTTATGGGTCTTTTGGTGCATTAGAAGACATGGTTTTCATTTATATACTAAGAAGATTGGTTGTTCTTAGAGTTTATGTATTTTATTATGCTAGGGATTGGTTGTTCTTTGAGTTTATGGATTTCATTATACTCTGGGTTATATGTTTTTTGAGTTTATGTATTTCATGGTGCTCATGGTTGGTTGCTCTTTGGGTTTATGATAGAATGTGCTCGGGGTTAGATTTTCTTCGGTTTTGTGTATTTTGTTCTGCTATGAGGTTGGTTGTCCTTCCGGTTTATGATGACAATGTGCTCGAGGTTGGTTGCTAAGTTTAAGATGACAATGTGATCTTTTTTCTTTGTTATTCTCTTTGTTTTGGGTCATATGTTGATAAGTTTATGATGAGTTATGTATTTGGAATTATAATGAATTCTTGCTATGATATGGGCTATGTTGTTCTTTGTATTAACAATGACAATATACACTTTTTTTTTGGTTTGTTATTCAGTAAGTTTGTTATTATATGTTCAGAAGGTTATGATGAGAGTCATGTGTGTGGAATTATGATGATGACCTACTGTGTTATGGGGTTATGATGACAGTTATTTATTCTTTTAAGCTTGTGATTATCGAGAATATCGTGGCGTACAGATATATGTTCTATTTTGGAGAGTTTCAGGTTTGTATTGGATGAATATGGTTAGTGTAAATATGATTAGTGACTCTCTAAAATGAATATTCTGCGGAGAGTGAAGTAATATGATCTCCTTGCTAAAGTGAAGTAATTTGGTCTTATTCTTGCACAATGGTAGTTTAGTTGGAAATATAAATTAGTTGAGAGATTGAGAATGTTAAAGTGAAAATGAGATATGCAGCAATCTCCTCAAAGTTCCAACCAATTCTTCATATATGTTATATTACTGCTTTAAAATTGGAGTTGGAGTCGATATTTTTATTCTAGGGGTTTTATGTGTCGCGCGATATTTTGGGGATCTTCTGGATGGCCTTCATATATGTTATATCCGTGATATACCCCATGTAACCTCTCTATAACTTACATGTAACCTACTTGTAACTTTTAATAAGTTTCGCACTTCTATTTTCATACATTTGTAGGTTACATGTAGTTTATAGACAAATTACATGGTGTATAACATGGATATAATCCCCAAATACCCTCTGAATAACCTCCTTGTCGTATGCAACGCTGCGTATTTTCTCCCTCAACTAGGGCATATCTGGATAAATATCAAAAGGCAGCTGTCTTGAAGAACAATAAATTTTAAGAAAATTTACATACATAGAACATAATTCTTACGTATTTACATATCTTACACCTAAGCTTTCATATTTACATTGTTATACAAATGAGGCCTCAACCAAGGCATAGCCGGATAAATATGAAAAAGCAGTTCAAGATAACCATAAATTTTAGAAAAATTTGCATACATCACACAATTCTTACATACGTACATATCTCACACCTAAACTTTTATATTTACATATATACCATTGGTGTTATAAACCTCTGCATGAAAGGGTGAATTTAACTTTTAAAAAGTGATAATAGTACTAATTTTAATGTGATACTGAAAACTTGTGTGTCGTGTGTAAATATAAAAGTTCAGGTGTGAGATATATAAAAACACGAGAATTGTGTGGTATCCACATAAATGCCCTAAAATTTAAACCATATAACCGATTCAGATTGACTAACTTCAATCACAGAGACAACAAAAATTGAAGTCCTACTTTCTAAAAAAAAAGTTAATCCATATAAAAGTGACTAAATCCCCATTTTGAAACAAAAAATTGTCAAAATTTGTATTTGACAGATGCCCTAAAGTCATATGCTATGGCTAAAATAAAAAAGAAAAATACAGAAGTGTGACAAAAAATCACAAATGAAAGCCTAAATATGGAGGCATTCTGCAGCGTTTCTTATTTTTCAGGGCAACACCCCATAGACAAATAATTGAACATGGTGCCATAAACAGGCATAACAATTACAAATAGATTATACAAGAAACAGATCAGCTCTTTGTATCAAAAAACTGTTAATCCGCACCAATCAGATTTCTGATGACGAATGGCAAGATTCCACCATGGTTGTAATATGCTAATTCTACCTGTTCCAGCACAACCATATCATAATTATCAAGCAAAATATTTACAATTGAGAAAAAAAAAAAGATTTACATGCATATCACTCAATTCCTATGTGTTTACATTCTAACAACTAAACTTTAATTTTTACACACACACATGCACACCTATATATATCTTACCTATGCATGTTAAAAGTTAAAATAGTTGCATTTTTATATGATATGAAGGGTTTTGATTGTATGAATGTAAACAATAAAGTTTAGGTGTTATACATGCAAATACATAGAAGTTGGGTGGTAGTATGTAAAGAAATGCGTTCACTTACCTCTGTGTCAAAGCGAACAGTACATGTAAAGGTTTTGCCAGTATTGACCATAACGGTTGCATTTTGACCAGGCTTGATTTCATCCGCACTGGTTGGGAGGTGAATGGTGAAGCGTTCGTGACCGGTTAATCCGAGGGTTTCTGCATCTTCGCCGGACTTGAAACATAGAGGAATGATGCCCATTCCCACAAGATTGCTGCGGTGGATTCTTTCAAAGCTCTTGGCTATTACAGCTTTGACACCCTGCAAATAATTAGTAGCCATGGAGTGCCAGATTTAACAAAATGTGGTTGGATTCAAGGTTGATAAGATACATGAGAGTTTTTAGAGTAGCTGAGTCAGATATGAATCCAAGAATACATACTATTCAATTCTTATGTATTTACATATCTAACATCTAAGCTTTTGCTTCTATACATTTTTACCATCCAAATCTATCATATCACATAAAAAATGCTAATATTTTAAATTTTAATGATGAAAATACACATTTTCATGCATAAGTAAGGTTGCATATATGTAAGAATTAAAATTTAGGCATTAGATATGTAAATACGTAAGATTTGAATGGTATGTACATAAATCTTCCATTGATGAAATATGATTTAAATTATAAATAAAAATCTTATATCAAGTTATCCCGCCAAAGGTTAGCAAGGATGGGTTCCAAAAATCTTATATCAAAATCTTCTAGCCCAACTTTTGATTCAAATTTACATAAAGTGGCTCAAAAATTAAGCACATTTTACTAAATAATACTACCTATATTAAAAATGGAGTTAACTATACCAGAAGCATTGGGCCCTTTGCAGCCCAATCACGCGAACTTCCGCTCCCATATTCTGCACCAGCCAAGATGATAGTGTCATGACCTTCCGCCTTATATTTCTGCTCAAAAAAGTAAAAAAACAAAAAAAAAGAGATTCAGCTTCTGAAAACTTAAAACAAGCATCAAAAACAAAATTGCAGGTTCAAACATTGCCATTTTAAAAAGTTCTATCATTCAGTTTGAGAGGCTCAGAAAATTACCATCGCGGCATCAAAAACAGAGAGCTTCTCCCCAGAGGGAATGTGAAACGTTTTAGGCCCAACTTCGCCTTCCAAGAGCTTATTGACAAGCCGAATATTAGCAAATGTTCCCCGTGCCATCACCTCATCATTGCCGCGCCGACTTCCATAGGAGTTGAAATCTTTCCTATCTACACCACGCTCCATCAAGTATTTGGCAGCAGGGCTATCCTTGTGAATACTTCCAGCAGGTGAAATATGGTCGGTTGTGATGCTATCACCAAAGCTTAACAGACAGTAGGCGTCCTTCACAGGATGGGGGCCAGGAGGAGACATTTTCATGTCCTTGAAGTATGGAGGCTCATGAATGTACGTTGATGAAGGATCCCATGAATAAAGAATGCTGGGTGACACTTTTAGTTGATTCCACATGGGATTTCCTGATGTAATTGCTTGATATGTAGATTTAAACATGTCTGGAAGAACACTGGATTGCACAGCCTACATAATTTTGAGAAAACAAAGCTTTAAATTATAAAATGATGTCTGAGCAATTTGTTATAAAAATACGTGAACTGAATCATAAAAAATTACGTTAGCAATCTCTTCGTTGGACGGCCAGATGTCTTTGAAGTGCACTTTTCTGCCATCCTTTGAGGTACCGATGGGTTCTTTGTCAAAATCAATGTCAACCTGAAATGTAAAAGACAGAAAATTATGAGTATAAAATTCATAGTGAGGGTAAAAAAACAGGATAGCGAATCAGATTGAGAAATGGAACACTTCAAAGCAAGCAAAGCTTTTGAAGGAAAAAATCGCATTATCATAAAAAAACATAATAAGTTTATATCATTATTCAATTATATGGTGGAACAATTCAACCAATTTGGATCAATTTCTTATAGGCCAACACAAAGAGTTGAATCAGGTAAAAAAAAAGTTGAATCATGCAGGTTTTATGTTTTACTGGACCTATTAACACTTAAACAAGAATATGCTCGTTAAAAACTTGCACTATTTTGAAATGTAATAGAGATAATGGTCTTTACATCCTTACTTACAGTTTAGTTTGGTTTACATATAGGAACTTTGTATATAAACATACTTACTGATTATTGGTGGTTACTTATGTTATCATAAATTCAAGGAAAACATCCTTATTGATTATTGGTGGTTATTTATGTTATGATAATTCAATAAAAAAAAATACTACAATCCTTGTTTTAGCTTCATGTTTTACTTTTCTCGAGGATTTATCAACTCGATGTCATGAAGTCTCCGTATCAACCTGCTTAAGGATTTAATATTTTGGTATCCTTTAATTTCTTTCTCTATCTATCGATTACAAAATTAAGTATTAGAAAAAAATTCCTGCCTGCTTTACTTTATCTGTAATAAATTTCTTGTTATCGTATTTGAGTACAACAATTTCCTTCTATTTTTCTTTCCGAAATCTCACAAACTTCTTATATCATCTTTCCCTCTCAATCTTTCTTCCATCTCTTGAGCGCTCAATCTCCTGAAATTGTACCCTCGAGCCCTTCCTCTCTTCCATGGAGATCCCGTGCAAAACTTCTGCACCCACCTTCCTTCTCTCTCCTCAAGTGAAAGCATGTAAGAGCCAAACAAAAAATCTTTTCTTCATGTACTGCCTACACAGATCCTTTCCCTCTCTCTATCATCCTCCCCAATTCCTAAAATTCCCAAACAAATTCCTAAAACATAAACAAATTTTTACAAATTTGAATTTGAATCTACATTGATTTAATTCACATCCTTAACATTTCCTAAAATCCCTACCACTAAATTGGCCAATCCAAGAAAATCCAAATTTAACAAAGCAATCCTAACAAGAAAAAAGATGGAACTACATATCACATTTGAATATGGTAAAATTAGGTGCAATATCCAAGATATCAGTTGCCATGTTGCAAGCAAACCTGCAAACTGAAGCTCTTTCTGCCTCGTCACTTAACCGTGAGTGACTAAGAAAATAAAGACGGAAAAATAAGAACGAAAAAGAAAAGAAAAACAAGAGAGGCTTCTTTCTTAGGAATTTTTCAAACTACTCTAAGAGGTTTGTTTAATATTTTTCTGAAACGCCATTGAAAAATGAGTTTGATCGTACTCAGTGATAAAGTGCCATTTCTTTCATAAATTGGACTACTTTTCTGTTAATTGGCATGCATAAGTTTTTTTAAGGAAACTCATCTCGTAACTAATAGGCATGCAAAATAAGAATGTGAGTTGCCAAGAATTATTTTCTTGGGTGGTGAGTAATCTAGATTGTGTAATTGACATATGAATAAATGAAGTTTTGAAAGCTATTCGCTCTATTTTATGTTTTATTCATTTTCCTAAATCTGAATTTATGTATGAACTTGAAATTTGAAACAAGCAGTTAATTCTAAATTGTGTATAATATTATCCTGGTGGTTGCATTGCATTCAGCAATTGTGCTTGTTTTAGCATCATGTTACCCTCATAACTTTTGAGTATTGAGACAAGAAAATGAAAGATTGCCTAGACATGAGAAAACTATTTTAGTATATGACAAATAGTGTATGACAAATAGTGTAGAAATCAAGATGACTATGAGAGAAAAAAAATTTAACTGAGTTAAAGATAAGTTAAATGAAATGGCAAACAAATTAAAGACCTGAGATTTCAACTGAAACAAACCATAAATTTTGGCAAAGGAATACTTCATGATGTTTTTTCCTTGGACGGAATCCAATAAGAGAATGTTACCACATCCCGTCACCTTAAATGACTTAGAAAAACCTCAATGATGATGATGACGTGCCTGTTGACCTCATTTTTTGTGAGGTCTAGTCTTCCTCTTAGAATTTAGGATCTAGCCTTAGGGATCTCCCTTTGACTATCTTAGAACTTAAGAAACGGGACCCGCCTCGTTTTAGAAATTCAACCCACTTCTCTACCCTTTTGGAGTTTCGCGTGTGTGATATCGACTTCTAGCACTTAGAAGGGTGAAACCAAGATGAGGAAACCCCAAAGAAATTCCTATAGGACCTTTTGAGCCTTAAGGTGGCCTTCTGCACAATTCGCACTCCCGCGCGAACAAATCTTGCAATTCGGAGAATCGACACGTCTGGTCGCCACAATTCACATCGCTTGCACTGTTACTTGTCGAAGACTCGAATAAACCTTTTGAAACGATCGATCACGGGTTGAAATTTTGTGAAATTTGAATTTTGAAGCGTTTTTGGCCTGATTGTCGACGACGTCGTCCGAGCGACCCCGGATGACAAAACGGACTGCGCCGGCGCGTCCAGAACGTCGATTTTGCCCTGGGAGGACACCCATTTTGTCGCGTCGTCGCGCGCGAATAAATCTTTTTAATTAATATCTATATATCTATATATATATATTTAATATATATATTAGTTAACTTTTTTTTCTTTCCTCTTTATTCCCTAGTCGTCTCACGTTCGCGTGCTGGCCTTTCCCTTTCTCGGTCTCGAGCCAACCGAGTTCATCCCCCTCCACTCGAGAGAGAGAGAGATGTGACTTCTCATTCGTCCTTGCCAGACATTTTCTGCCCGCGACCCTCCTTCCCGGAGCTATGGTTTTCCTTTTCTTGGTAGTTTGACTCTGGGAAGCTTGTTCCCTGGTACACTTGAATGACAAACTCTCTCTTCTCTTCGCCCCGATACTTCCCTCGCTGCCACTAGGCTCGCCGCTTGGTGCTAGATATTTCGGTTGCTTCGCCTTCTGTGAGCAGGGAATGCGTCCTTTTCTTCTTTGGCCCGATTCGAGTACTGGGGTGGATGGGGTGATCTTCTTTCTCTTCTCCTCTCTTCTCTGCCTATAAATATAGTTTCTTTTGGAATTTTGGGGGTTGTTGAAAAGTTTTCTAAAGAAAGGGGTAGAGATTTTGGCTGTGAGAGGAGTTTAGGAGGAAATTTCTGTGAGAGCATCTCTTTGAGGGGGTATCTGGTGTTGCGGTGCTTTACATTTGCATCAAAGGAAGGTACTCTTTTTCCCCCCTTCTCAGTGCCCTGTTTCCTTTCGGTTTTCTCTTTGCCGAGCCTTTGAGCATGACCCTGCTGGATGGTACAATATGCTAGTTTACTTTACTTTCATATATTTTTGAGATATTCGCATGTGAAGGATGAAATGTGAGCATGTGTTAGAAATTAGACTTGGATATTCGCTTAAGGTGATGGATATATGGCATGTTCTTTGTTTATCCTATCATAATTATGTCAACAGCGATTTGGATAATTAAAGCATGGTTTTAGAATAATTTCTGCTCCTCTTGCAAACATGTTGGGATGTGTATTGTGAAACTTTTCGTTTATCTTTCGTTTAGCATGAGATATTGAAGAATTTATTGGGTCTTTCATGCATGCTAGAGGGTTTCGGCTTTGGCATCTTAAGACTTGCTCTTGCTTAAAATGAATGCTAGAGAGTTCACTTTACTTTCTATACATATGTGGGGGCTCGGTTTAGCTCCTGCGGCTTTCCCTTGCTTGAAATATATGCTATGAGAAAATTTATTTAATTTGGAAAGTGCAGTAGCTTGTTTTGAGGACTTGGTTTAGCTCCTCGTGAGGCACCTCCCCTATTCAAATATTTGTTGGAATGATTTCATGCTTGGAATATTTAGACATGCAGGTTGTTCCTCGGCTTTGGATGGCTCATTTTTACCTTAAGGTGGCTGGGACTTTAATTTCTATTAAAACCTGAATTTGTATCAATGTTTGGGTCTTGTTTTAGCCTTGTTGGACTCGATTTTGGCTTGGTTTGGAGTCTCGGCTTTGGCTTGAAATGGCTAGAACTCTATTTTTTTTTTATGGAAGCCTGGATTTTAATATTGTTGGATGTGATTTTGGTGCTTCTTAAACTCGGTTTTGGCTTGTAATGGCTCGGTTTTGGAGCTGTGTGGGCATTCGGCTTTCATTGCAGGAGCATGAGATGCTGACTTTTTGTTGAGGTGTTGAAGTTTTCTTTGCTAGCTTTAAGAGGCTCACTTTGGGCTCTTACTGATTTTCAATTTGTTTAGAAGTGGCTGGAATTTTAATTTCTATTAAAGCCTGAATTAATATCAATGCTTGGGTCCAATTTTAGCCTTGTTGGGCTCGATTTTGGCCCCTGCTGGGCTCGGTTTGGCTCTAGTTGGGAGCTCGGTTTGCTTTGTTTGGCCCTTACCCGAGAGGTGGCTTGGAGGTGATTTTACTGGCTTTGGTTCCTAGTCCTACTCGTGAAACCTATTGGAGTTTCTTGAGTTTAATCTACCCTCTCTTGTTGAGTTTGAATCATTTGAATGATTGTAGATGGATCAAACTTGTTACTTTGAGAGATTGGTGATATTTTACACTTTCATATGTATATCAAAACTTGTAGGGAATTGATTCGGGTTTGCCTTAGCTGTGAGCCTCACTTGTTGTTCCTTGGGTTTGCCTCAGGTCTCTGCTGTGAGCCTCCTCTGCTCCTGTGCCTCGGGTTTGCCTTAGCCGTGAGCCTCACTTGTTGTTTCTTGGGTTTGCCTCAGCTGTGAGCCTCCCCTTTTGGTCCTTACCCGTGAGGCCCCTATCATTGGGTGTGATTTGGTCCTTCTTGCTAGGCTTGATTGGCTTGAGTGTTGTGGATGAATCAAATTTTTCATCCCAAAAATTATAATCACTTTAGTTATCCTCTTATGTTTGTCAGGAAAGCATAGTAGTCAT